GAAGGAGTTAAACAGAGGCCAGAGGCCAGGGGTCTACGGGGACATGTGGGCAGGGATCCAACCTCAAAGGGCCTAAAAGACTCTATGAAGGGGTCTGGCCTATCGAGAGGGCTCTCAGCAGCTACTTAAAGGGTCTATGAAAAAGCAAAACCAACACTGGGACTTAGAAAGCTAGTGAGATATCAAACCTGCTCTTGAATTTCTCACTTATGCTCAGGTATTAGTCAACCAAGGCTGTGTGCTGGGGTTGGGAACAGGGGTGAGCTGGTAAGACAGAGTGGGAGGCGCTTACAGTAGTCCTCTCTGTCTTCTGCAATACAGCAAGTGTATAGCATATGTTAAAATGTATTATCTTTATATCTTAGATGAATATAATTTCTATTTTAGTATACATTATAATTTATATATATACTATGAAATGTTATAAGTTATAATATGTAAATATATCAATTTATTATGTTTAATACATAATATTATAGACTATTATATATACAGTAGTCTCCCCTTATCTGTGGTTTTGCTTTCTGCAGTTTCAGTTACCTATAATCTCCCACGGCACCAAAAACATTGTAATGAATATTCCAGAAATAAACAATAATTAAGTGCTAAATTGTATGCCATTCTGAGTAGCATGAACTCTCGTGCCATCTGTCTCTGCCTGAGACATGAATCATACCTTTGTCCAGCATATCCACACCTTCTACGCTACCTGCCTATCAGTTAGGACAGTGGTCCCCAAACTTTTTGGTACCAGGGACAGGTTTCATGGAAGACAATTCTTCCATGGGCAGGGCAGCAGGGAGGTGGAACTCAGGCAGTGATGCGTGGCTGGTTCTTAACGGGCCAATGAATGGTACCGGGCTGTGGCCTGGGTGTTCATGACTGCAGACTTAGAAGCCATCTCTATTATCAAATCGCCTGTTGTGGTCTCATAGCGCTTGTGTCCAAGTACCCCTTGTTGTACTTCATAGTGATCCCAAAGTACAAGAGTAGTGATGCTGACCATGCAGAGATGCCAAAAGAAGCCGTAAAGCACTTCCTTTAAGTGAAAAGGTGAAATGTTCCTAACTTCAGGAAAGAACAAAAATCATACACTGAGGCTGCTAAGATCTACAGTAAGATGCATCTTCTAGCTGTAATTGTGAAGAAGGGGCCAGGCACGGTGGCTCCCACCTGTAATCTCAGGACTCTAGGAGGCCAAGGAGGGTAGGTCCCTTGGACTCAGAAGTTCGAGTACAGTCTGAGCAGGAGTGAGACTATGTCTCTACTAAAACCAGAAAAATTAGCCAGGCATTGTAGTGGACACCTGTGGTTGTAGTCCCAGCTACTCAGGAGGCTGAGGCAGGAGGATTGCTTGAACCCAGGAGTTTGAGGTTGCTGTGAGCTAGGCTGAGGCCATGGCTCTCTAGCCTGGGCAACAGAAAGAGACTCATTCTCAAACAATAAAAAAAATTTGTGCGAAGGGAAACAAAATTTGTGCTAATTTTGCTGTCAGACTTCAAACTGTTAAAATCACAGCCACAGTGTATGCTAAGTGCTTAGCTAAGATGGAAAAGGCATTACATTTGTGGGTGGAAGACATGAACAGAAACATGTTCTAATTGATGGCAATCGGGTTTGGTACTATCTGAGATTTCAGACATCCACTGGGGGTACTGGAACATATCCCCTGCAGATAAAAGGGCACTACTGTAGTAGTATCTAATATGACATATTAATGATTCAATACAGTAAAATATGTTATATAATTATATATAAATTATATAAATAGAAAATGTAATATAATGATTTATGTCTTTATATGTTACATATTTCAAAAATCTGGAAGGAACAGGCAGTGCAAAGGCCTGGCTTTGCAAGAATTAGAATACTACTTATTCTATGTATTTTAAGCATAATGGGGTAGCAGTCCAACAGTGAAACTGAGTCCCTGAAATCCCACCATGGAGGTGGTGGTATTTCTCTCTTTGCCCAAGCTCACTTTACTCAATAGGTGATCCAGGGCCGTGACCCCATTTTGAGCCTTGGTTTTGTAAATCCAGAAAATGAGAACTGGACTATCCATCTTCTGTCAAGAAAGAACACAACATCAGAAATAAGTCCAGAAACTCTTTAAAAACCAAGAGCAGTAAAGACATACAGGCAGACCATAGAGGTATTACTGGTTTGGCTCCAGTTCACCACAATAAAGCAAATATTGCAATAAAGCAAGTCACACAAATGTTTTGGTTTTCCGGAGCATATAAAAATTTACTGTGGTCTGTTAAGTATGCTATAGCATTATTTCTAAAAAACATTAATTAAAATAACAATATTCTTAGTGGTATCTAGAATGCTAATTCCTTTCCCAACTTTCCCAAAGGTGTGTCTGTGTCTCTCTCTCTCCCCCCTGCCTCACAGAGTCTCACTCTATAGCCCTAGGTAGAGTGCTGTGGTCTCATAACTCACAGCAACCTCAAACTCCTGGGCTCAAGAGATCCTTCTGCCTCAGTCTCCCAAATAGCTGGGACTACAGGAGCAAGCTACCATGCCTGGTTCATTTTTTCTATTTATAGTAGAGGCAGGTTCTTGTTCTTGCTCAGGCTTATCTCAAACTCCTGAGCTCAAGGAATCCTCTCACCTCGCCCCCCCAGAGTGCTAGGATGACAGTATGCGCCACCACGCCTGGCTCAAAAGGTCTCTAATGTACTTTACCCAGGTCCATCAGAGGAGTCACTACCTATGGCAGCTATAGCCTGATGACTGAAGATCATGACGATGGATACAACAATAATAGAAAAGTTTAAAATGCTGGAAGAATTTACCAAAATGTCACACAGAGACATGAAGTGAGCTTATGCTACTGAAACAATGGCACCAATAGACTGGTTGGAGGCAGGGCTACAGAAACTTTTAATTTGTAAAAAAAAAACATGAAAACAAAAAGAATTAGAAAACCATGTAATATCTGTGAAGCACAGCAAAGCGAAGTACAATGAAATGAGGTACGCTTGTGTATTATTGGCATTTAGCTTTCTTGTTAGTTCTGTAAAACTGAAAGCCCTGCTGACTTTCTGAATGACTGAGAAGGCCTCCGATGCTGCACCCACACAAAGGGCAGACCATTTGGAGGGGAGCTGACATTTGGTCATTTCAAGGATGACCTGCCCCCTTTCACACTGGGTGACACAGAGGTCCCCACGCTCTGCTGGGAAATTCACATCTTCCATTTGCTCAGAGCTTTCACAAGCCCAGCTCCAAATTGTCATAAGTTGGCAGCTGGCACCCATGTGTCCTTCACGCACCACGTGGCTATGGAAGAGGACACAGATATTTACTGAGCTCCTCCTATATGTCTGGCACCGTGGAAAGCACAGCTCAGACCCCATAAGCATCAGTCCCCTAAACTCTCCTCTCCATTTACAAACTTTGAACTAAATTCAGATGACTTGGATGTAGACCTGCTTGTGATTCACATGGTCAAGATGACATGGTGTATGATGTCTAGCATTTGCCCAGCGAGACAAAACACCAGCTAGGAGTTAGGGGCAGGTTCCGGTGAAAACTCTGCTGCTAACCAGCTGGGTAGCTCTAGGCAGTCCCTTCTGCCCTCTGCACCCTGGCCACATCTGAACCACAGTGTGTGGATGAGAGCTCCTCTGTGGTGCCTCTGAGCCCTGATGGCCCACGATTCAGACTCTGGGCCTTTGTACAGGCTGTTTCCTCAGCCTGGGGTGCCTTTTCCCTGTGGATCCACCTGGCAAGCTAAGAGGCTTCCTTCGAATCCTTTTAAGTGGCCACTTCCTCCATGAAATACTCCCGGATACAGAACTACCCCCACTCTCCCACCAGCAAATCATCCAACACTCCTTTTTCTGCTCTACATCTGTGCCCTGGACTTAAGTAAACCACGGGGCCCCTGTGCTGAAATGATTTACTGGCATAATAACTATAAACTAAAGGCATGATTTCACCTTTACTTACTGTCAGCCAGAGCATGGAACATAACAGAGGCTCTAGAGAGGCCTGGTGAATCACTGAATGGATGCGTGAATTAACTATGGTTTATTAAACCTTTTACAGGGTTAGGCGATTCCGATTATGGTCTGGAGAGAGCCATACACTCCTTGTTGAAGCATTTCTTATACATTTCTTAAGGGCAAGAGCCATTTACAAAATATTCTCTGTCTGTTTCCGCCTCTTTGTAAGATTTTGTAATGAATATTTTGTAAATAAAGGTACATTTATTTACATTTAAGGTAAATCTGGCTGTAATTTCCTATTTTCCCTACACATGGTGACTTTAGGGACAACTTTTGGGATACCCTATATTAGGATAGAAAATATCTACATTTGCACTAATGCAGGAACCTGAAGGCCAGGCTCCAGATGGCAGGCTGACACTTGCAAAAAACCCCACCAGTTTGAAAAGCCGGCTCAAGGGGATCACCACTACCATAGTTTATGGATTCAGGCTTAAGTAAACAGTCCCCAGGAAGAGAACCTCCTCTACCAACATGGTAATAGTAATAATGATAACGCTTGTGGAGCAAAGTGTGGGTACTGCAGACTGCTACTAAGAGGCTGGGCTCCTTCTGTTCAGACCTTCACCCAGGAAAGCTGGATATGCCAAGTGTCACCCAGCCAAAGCTAACTTCTCTTGCCCTTAGGACTCAAGGTCTAGCTACAATTGATTCTGCTATCTTTATTCCTGTGACTCCTGCCCTCATTCCTCAGATGAGATAAAATAAGGTCCAGAGAAGTTAAATAACCAGCCCAGGTTACACAGCTAGTAAGTAGCAGAGCTGAACTTGAGGCAGCTCTTCACATTCTAAAACCTGTACTCCCCACGCTCCTGCAGGGCCCTCGAGTACCAGCAAGACATTTATCACCACTTCCTTTGCTTTATGACAGTTCTTTGGAGCGCGTGGCCTGCCACAGTGCCTAGAAGTAGCCTGGACCACAGGCAACTCTCAGGAGAGACAGTGGGCTGTTGATTAAGTCCTGTGCTCAAGATAGAAATGGACCCCTCAGCCTGGATGAGAAGGTGAGAAAGGACGTCAGCCTCTAGGGTCAAGCCTTGGGAACTGAGTGAAGTTCCATACACGTCACCTCACCCAATAGCTGCCAGCTGCCCATATTGGTCACCCACCCACCACAGGCCTGTAGTTCTTTTTATAACTCCAGACAGCAGAGCCCAGCTGGCCCTCCAGCAGCCCCAAGTTCATGGCTGCACAGCCCTCCAGGATATGATTTTTGGCAAGGCCTCGGATCAATTAGCCACCAGTGCTGGAAAGCTGGGAGGTTGTGTGGTGGGAACCAGGTCAGAAATTCCTCCCAAGGCCCCTGACTCAGTCACCAGATGGCTACTTAGGGCCAGCAAAACTGAACAGAGGCCCTGGGTGGAGAGCCATAGAGAGCCACAGGAAGACAAGGTCACAGAGAGAGCAAAAGTGCCTACAGAACTAAAATACAGTGTGAAGGCCCAAATCTGGAACGAGCTAAAAAAGGAGTCCAGATTGCACGTTACAAGATGCAAAACAAGGGCCCTTGAGCTATGTGCTTCCCCGAGTCCGCTCCACCTGGCCAAGAGGAAGATTCCTCCCACTTGGAAGTGACTGACCACTGAATTTTCAAAATAGGTCCATATACCACCCCAGCCCCAATGCCACACCCAGTGACCTAACCTTCCTACTAAAATGGGGGGTGGGGGAGCAGGGAGTTGGAGTCAGGCATTGATTCCCTGGCCAGTAGCTTTTGTAAGGAAAGGTACACTACTGTCAACATCCAGAAAGCCAAACTCAGCCACAGATTAGGAATGTCAGTCATCTGAAGAAATGGCAATAATGGAAGCACATGTCGCCCATCTGCTGCAAGGGGCAATGCCCCCACGCTTTCACACCCCATTGGCCAGCTGGGCTCTGTGTGGACCCACCTGGCGCTCTCTGTAAGTTCTGGGGGCTCTTGGCCCTTCCTTCGCCTGCATTCCAGGGAGTGAGCAACAGGCCAAGTGACATTCAGGCAGCTGGTTTCCATCCTACTGCTGCCCCATGGCCACATCAATGGGAAGGGCAATGAGGGACCCTTACTCCCCAGTTCTCTCCCACCACTTGGGTGACATCATTTGTTCCCAGACCCAGGGGTCTTTGTATATCCTCCAACGTGGCTTCCATGAGCCTCTTCCGAAAGCCCTGTCTCCATCAGCCAGCCCACCTCCTCATTTCCAGAACTATAAAGGGCTATGAAGGGTGGAGGATGTTACACTTCTTCTAGGCTAACCCATACTTTCCTGGCAGAAGACACTGAATTCCTGGGTCAGAGACTGAGAAATTTGTTTCTCCGAGGACAACAAGCAGCATGAGCTTCATACCGTACTGGTGTCCCATGTCCCACTGGACTGATACAGAGGCAGGCCCTGGGGACGCTCCGCACACTATGTGTTTGTGTCACAGCTAAGAAACCCTGAGTTTAGGAAACCTCCAGTCTTATGAGGGAGCTGCCAGAAAAACTACCTACTCATTGCCCTGGTGGGGGGGCAGCAAACAAATCTGCCCTCCACCTGAAGACAAGATCTCCATCTCTCAAGTCCATTTGCTATGGGAAAATCCTTGAAAAGATGGTCTGGAACAAGAGCTGTGACAAGACACACCAAGATCCAAGGGAACTGTCTCCCAACAGATACTGCAAGAGGCAGGAAAGAGGCTGTCTGCCTCCTTAAGATCAGGGGCAAATGGTAAGTGGCACCCTTCTCCTCCCCGAGCCTGACAGGGCAGAGCCCCCCAAAGCAGGAACAGAAACAGTCAAGGTGAGAACTGGTGGAGGAGCCAGGCTCTGGGGTAGAGGCGGCCACGGAAGGGTGGGCACTTCCAGAACTACATCAAACTGATAAGGGGGAATTCTGACTAAGATGACCACCCCTCCCCATTTCTCTTCAGTATTGGTGACAGAGGACCCCTACCCTTGGGAATTTCCTTCTCTGGCCCAGGGTCCGTCATTGCCTCCCTGGTCCCAGCAAATCAAAAAGCCCCAGGAAACCTAGATCTCATCCAGCTGGTGGAATCTGACCTTTGGGGTAGTCAACAGAAGGAGGTGTGAGAAAGGTGCCTGGGTGTGGCCGCATGGGAAGTGGCCAGTGTGTGTGGTTGAGAGGAGGGAGGGAGGCTGAAGCCCAAGACAGTGTTTCTGCCACGCCCTAGCGCCCCCTGCCTCTGCAGCTCCATGGCCTGCCTCCATGATCCTCCCAGGCATGCTTCTTCAATCCCTGCCTTCTCACCCCTGCTATATAGCCAACAACTCCTATGTGTTCGCAGGTCTGTGCCTGGCATGTGGCTGGCTGGGGAAGGTGTAGATATGACCAGCCTCTGCCGCTCAGGCTCTTTCTGGTGGACCCACACAGGCTCCTGCAGCCTAACCGCATCTCCACTCTGTGAAATCTCCCTGCAGCAAGGCTCCCCCCAGCACCTGCCCCTGGCACTCACCAGATGGCATGTCCAGGGCTCCAGCTGCCAGGATTCCTGGCCAGGACCAAATTCTGCTGTCCTGAGGAAGTAGCCCAGGATATGGCCAATGGCATCCACAATGCTTGGCAGGGCAGGCTGGACATAGCCCATATGTCAGGAGCCAACAAGATGATGGCCATGGCTGGCTCACATTTCAAGGCAGCCAACTTGGCAGCCCACAAGATATTTCACGACCAGTGCAGCTTCAGCACAAGTTTGGTGGAACATCACTTGCACAGGTGAGTGAGCCTCACCTGCTGGACTCCAGGTGAGGTCGAGATGAGCATAGCATTGGTAAGGAGGGAGTAGCAATTTTCTATTTGCAATGAGATGCAGTAGAGATAGAAACATGGGGATAAGCAGGGGCCTTAGACATCATGTGAAACAGTAACAACCCTAAGTGGACAATGCAGCTGAACTTTGGGAACATGCCCCTGGCCACAGGGGGCCCCCTGAGGGTACAGGCCTGGGATATGGACCATGCCTAGGGTAATGACTTCCTTGGCTCTCATGACTGAAAGCTTATTGGCAGAGGTTGGAGACCAAAGACACCCGTTATCTCAGAGAAGGGACTCTGGAGCTTCTGTGCAAGGTGACTTGTGCCCCACACCTGAGAAGCAGGTGGTTGCACTCTTGCTCTCAGGGAATGCTGGAGGAGCTCCCAGGAAACCCAGCAGGGCTATATGGTGAGGGCTGGTAGTTCCCGCCACCTCAGAGGCCTAGCTGGCTGGCCTCTCCAAGAGCAACCAAGGATGTCTGGGTCCCCCAGAAGCTGAAATACAAGGTACATACCTTCTCCCCAGTTCTGCATCCTGGGAAAGAGAGGAATACCAGGTAGCTATAGTTAGAGGAGGGCTGATGGGGTGAGGGGGGAGGCAACTGGGAGGAAGTGGGATAGGAATGGGCCTCCCCACATTTCACTGCACCAGACGCTTCCTGCAAATGTGCTTTCTTCCAAAGCCTTGGCTGTGCAATAGATTTATAAATTTTTATAAAACCCATAACTGGACTTTCAGTGCTGGGTGTGACATTTAGGGTGCTGACTGCTAGAACTGCTGGGCTTTTAGAATAAGGGCAGCCTGTGGCCAAGGGTATAGATGCTGTCATGTGGGCTGTGGGCTTCTCTTTGGCCCAGTCTATCTTGCTCAGGGTCAAGAGTCCCTTGCCACCCTGAGAGTGGAGAGTTGCTGGCTTCTGCCACTGGACCATAGCCAAACTTTCCTGGCCCTGGGGCACTACAGGGAGTCAGGGCCCAGAGAGCAAAGCTTTCAACTGAACACTGATAGGATGAACGTGGAGTCCCCTGCCTTTCCTCCTCTACAGAAGCACCCAACTGCCATCCCAGCTTCCCCTCAGTCACAGGAAAAACACCTTCCTCCTCCTTGCCCATCTCACACCAGCCTCCACTTGCCAGCACACCTGTTATCCAGGCCCTTCGAGACTGGGCCTGCACTTCTGCTCCTTTAAAGGTCTGCTTTAAGGCTGTGCTCCCCAACTCCTAGTCAAGACCGGGACTGGTCTATGGCCTGTTAGGAACCCAACTGCACTTGCCCCATTCACCTGAGCTCCACCTCCTGTCCCATCTCCCCCAACCAATCCCATCTGTAGAAAAATTCCCTTCCATGAAACCTGTCCCTGGTGCTAAAAAGGTCGGGAATAGCTGTTGTAAGGTGTGCTTTTGTTTTTGTTTTTTCTTAAGCTCTCTCTTTACTCCAAAGATTAATTCTGTCTTTTAACTCTATTCCAAACCCTAAGAAAAAAAAGACCTGCGTGTAAACTTAAAATGTCATTTCCTCCCACTCCTTGGCAGAGGACATTCAAACATAAAAGGCCCTAATCTCAGAACTCCCCTTCAAGCAGAGTCTCAGGAAAATAGAATCTCAACACCAGCCTGCCTCAGATCTAAAATGACCTACCACATTTCCACCACTCACCCCACGCTTATGCTACCTCCAGCAGTTGAATGGGCCCTCGCTCCCCAGTACCCATGCCCCGGCAGCTGTCTGAACCACCTCCCCAACCCCACCCAACCCCCATCCCCGCCCCTGTCCGGGAGTATGAATGTTCCAACAGCTGCCTGCCCTTCCCCAGTGGTGGGAAGGTCACTGTCTCCAAAGGGTGCTTACTTTATGATGGAATCATTTTTTAATAGTTCCAAATAATTTATTCCTGATAATATTCAAATGTGAAAGGTATGAGGAGAGTTCATAACAAGAACGATTCAATGGACAAGCAAGTTTGGTTTGTGTTAATAATAATATGTGGCATGAAAAATAAAATAATAAAATCATTCCTAAAAAATGTAAATAAAATGTCCTTAAGGACCCTGATTAAGCCTATTTTCAAAGAAGTCAGTAAATGTTGCTTCTGATTTATAAAATTAGATGAACATGCTTTTTTCAGAGGAAATAATGCTGATATATGATATAATCCTGAGACATAATACATAAAACATACCAACTGAGATTTAGTAAGCCTAGAGCACAGTCTAGACTTTTTATAAAAAAACTTCCTATTTGCATGTGGAGATTCTATTTTCCTGAGACTGCTTCTCAGTATGAAGGGGAGTTCTGAAATTAGGACCATCTATGTTTGAATGTCCGCTGTCAAGAAGTGGGAGGAAATACCATTTTAAGTTTACACACAGCTCTTTTCTTTTCTTGTGGTTTAGGATAGAGTTAGAAGACAGAATTAATCTTTGGGGTAAAGATAGAGCTTTACAACAAACAAAAGCATCCCTCAAGACAATCTAGCTTGTGAAGGCTGTTGTTTCTTACCCTAAGCTCAAGTCTGCCTCTCTTCCACTTAATGGCCTAGTCTGGTGGCCCGAAGCATCCCTCCTCCCTCTCAGCGTAGCTGTGCTGGACAGCGGTAAGGACTCCCTAACGGTTGCTCAGGAGCTTCATCACAAACACTGTGTTCTCCAGTTCCTAGAGCACCTTGGCAGGCTCACAGTGCTCTAAGACTTGCGTGACAGCCTGGTAGTAGATAGGGCAGATTTGGGCACAGAGGGAGATGTGGACGCTCAGGTGACTTCCCAGCACCTCTGGTTGGTGTATAAATAAATGAGCACACTCAGCCCAAAGGCCAGTTCCTTGGCCAGTGCCACATTCATCACACAGCATCACTGTTCTTAGGAAGCTCTGCAGTCAGACAGTCTGTGCCAGTCCCAGCTCTACTTCGTGCCAGCTATGGAACCTCTCAGCTTCATTTTCCTCACCTGCAAAATGAGAAGCAGGACCAGAAAATGGGGGGCCAGAGACTACACAGGCAAGAATTGCTCTTCTTGGCACTTCACTCCAACTGTTCTACCTCTAGGCGTCAAAGGAAGCTGCCTAGTGGTTAAGAGCAAGGGCTCAGCCTACTTGGGTTCAAATCCCAGCTCTGCCACTTATTGGTTTTTTCAAACTGTCACATAAATCTCAAAAAAAATTTTCTCATATATTTACTGAAAAAAAATCCACCTGTAAGTGGACCTGCAAGCCCCTGTTCTAGGGCCAACTGTACTATAAAACTCTTAGAAGAAAATATAGGCAGAAATCTTCACAACCTTGGATTAGGCAGTTGTTTCTTAAATAGGATTCCAAAAACATAAGCAAAAACGGAAAATAAATGAGTTAAAATTTACCAAAGTTAAGAATGTGTGTGCTTCTGAGGAGATTATCAAGAAAAGTGAAGAGGCAACCCAGAGAGTGGGAAGAAGTTTTGAAATCATGTATCTGATAAAAATAAAAGGAGGAAAATGTTTGAAAAATCAAAAAATTATTTATGTATTATTATTGTTATCTATTCTCTTAGTATCCAGAATACATAAAGAACTTTTATAACTCAATAACAAAAAGACAAATAATTAAAATACAGGCCAAGTATCTGAACAGCCATTTCTCTAAAGAAGATATAAAAAGGAGCACTAAGCACTAGAAAAGGTGATCGACATTAGTCCTTAGGGAAATGTAAATCAAAACCACCATGGGATGACACGTCACACCCACTAAGAAGGCTGAAATCAAAAAGACAGACAATGAGTATCGTGCTATGGTCTGAATGTCTGTCCCTTCTTCCAAATTCATATGCTGAAACTTACTCCCCAATGTGGTACTAAGATAATGGAGCCTTTGAGAATTACTCCCCAATGTGGTACAAAGATAATGGAGCCTTTGAGAATTACTCCCCAATGTGGTACTAAGATATGGAGCCTTTGAGAATTACTCCCCAGTGTGGTACTAAGATATGGAGCCTTTGAGAAGTAATTAAGCCCTGATGATGTAAGTTTCATCCCACATATTTTGGTATGTCATATTATATTTTTACCATCACTCAATTGAAAGTATTTTCTGACTTATTCTTTGACTTAGGTGTTACTTTAAAGGATTTTGGTCAATTTCCAACCATTTGAAGATTCTTTTGGGTTTTTGCTCTTGTAATTGATTTTTAGCTAAATCTATTGAGTAACAGAACAATCTCTGTAAGTTTTCAATCCACTGAAATTTTTTGAGGCTTTTTATGGCCCAGTATAAGGCCAGCTTAGGTAAATACTCAATAGTTGTTTTTTGGGGCTATTGTTATTTGTTTGTTTGAGATAGAGTCTCACTTTGTTACCCTTGGTAGAGTGTCATGGCGTCACAGCTCACTGCAACCTCAAACTCTTAGGCTTAAGCGATTGTCTTGCCTCAGCCTCCCAAGTAGCTAGGACTATATGTGCCCACTGCAATGCCCAGCTGTTTTTAGAGACGGGGGTCTCACTCTGGCTCATGCTGGTCTCTAACCCATGAGCTCAGGCAATCCACCTGCCTAGACCTCCCAGAGTGCTAGGATCATAGGCGTTGGCCAAGACGCCCAGCCTCAGTAGTTCTTAAAAGGAGGTTTGTTTGTTCACTCTGGTACAGGGGTGCAATGTCCTATATATGTCAGTTGGGTCAAACTTATAGTTGTGTTGTTCAAATCTTTGTATCTTCAAAAATTTTATTGTTATTTGCTTATTTTATAAGTTACAGAGATAAGTAACTTAATACCTTTCACTATGATTATGCATTTATTCTGTTCCATTGTTTTAGTTTTCCTCTTTAGGGTCTCTATTATATATAGATTGGATCTTCTCTATCTTCCATATCTATCACATTTATATCTTTTTTTACTGCTGATTTTTAAAATTTTTCAGTTTTGGATTTTTAAGACACTTTCCTCCTTTTATCTTCTATTTCTGTTATGATCTTATTTATGTTATTTATTCCTCCAGTTT